TGTTCTTGAACTTCATGTAAGTGGACTGGTACAGGATTCTTTGAGTTGAGTCTCTGGTTTTTTTCCCTCAACATGAGGTCCATGCAAATTGTTATAGTATCAGTAGCTCCTGTCTTTGTATGAATAGGCCACAAGTTGTTCATCCGTTCATCCACTGGTGGAGCTTTGAGTTATTTCTAGAGGCTTTATGAGTAAAGCCGTTACGATCATTTTAAAGACTTCATTTCCTCGCGGCTGTGCTGGACCTTATTGCTCCCCGGGCTTTTCTCTAGCTGCGCTGAGCGGGGACTGCTCTCTAGCTGCCATGCGAGGGCTTCGCGTCGCAGTGGCTTCTTTGGTTGCAGAGCTCCGGGGCACGCAGGCTTCAGTAGTTGCGGCCCCGCGCTTCAGAGCGCAGGCTCGGTAGCTGTGGCACATGGGCTTATTTGCCCTCCGGTGTGTGGAATCTTCCCAGATCAGGACTGAACCCATGTCTTCCGCATTGGCAGGACTGAACCTGTGGTGGGCTGCAGGCTCTCACAACTGAGTTTGCATGTGCACTTGTGTACATAGATACACACACACCCCACACACACACACGGTAGGTGTATGTTCAACTGTATTTGTCGTCGTAGCTGAGTCATGTCCGACTCTTCGTGACCCCATGGACTGTAGCCTACGAGGCTCCTCCGCCCATGGGATTTTCCTGGCAAGAGTACTGGAGTGGGTTGCCATTTCCTTCTCCAGGGGATCTTCCCCACCCAGGGATTGAACCCGCGTCTCCTGCATTGCAGGCAGACGTTTTACTCTCTAAGCCACCAGGGAAAGCTACCAAAGAGTTTTCCAGTGTAATTACGATGTGTGCACGCCTCACCACCAGCACACGAGAGTTCCAGTAGCTCTGCCAGCACTTAATATTGTCAGTCTTCTTTTGTTTTCCATTATGATAGGTGTATAGGGGCTTCTTGCTGTGATTTTAATTTTCATTTCTCTGATAAGGAATGTAGAGCACATTTTCATATATTGGCCCTTTTGTGCAGTTTGTCTAAGTCTTTTGCTCATTCTTTTTTTTTTATTGTGTTGTTCATCTTTTATTGATATGAAGGAGTTGTTTAAATATCCTGGATATGAGTTCTCTGTCGGAATTGATGAATATTTTCTTCTTTTGCTTTTTCCCCCCTTTTTTGGTATGAAGACAAGAAGCGAAGGGGGTGAGGAGAAGCGCCCTTGGGGAGGGGGATGATTAGTGTGGTCAAGGGAGTCCCCGAGAAGAGGTAACGTCTGGTTGGGCCTTTTTTTTTCTGGCTGTGCTGCATGGTTTTCAGGGTCTTAGTTCCCCAACCGGAGATTAAACCTGGGCCCACAGTAGTGAGAGCAGAGTCCTGAGCACTGGACAGTCAGGGAATTCCCTGGACGTTTTTTTTTTTTAATTGCAATTTTATGACACATTTGCTGTTCTTTTTTCCTCCTTAACCTTATATAGCAAGCATTTTCCCACATTACATGTTTTTTTTAAAATGTGATTTTTAGAACTGTATAATGTTTCATCATATGGATGTACCCTATTTTCTTTAACCAGTTTGCTGTTGTTGGGCCTTCTTGAGGAAGCTGCCAGGCTTCACGTTGCTCTTTTTCTGCAGTCCTCCTTAGTTCTTCAGGGCTGGTGCACAGAGGTGGGCTCCGAGGAAAACTCAGAGGGGCTGCGGCTTCTTGTCAGCTCTTTGGGGGTCTTCTGGCTCCTTCTCTGGCGCTCCTGCTCAGCCCTTTATCCCTGAAGCCCTTCTCTTTCCAGGCTTTCACTGCCCTTTTTCATCTGCCACGGTCACTGCCAGCAAGGCTGAGGGCCTTAAAGAGTTCCCTGCCTGCGGTGGGGACCCGGCAGCTGGTGAGTGCTGGCAGCCCCCCGATCCATCCCTGGAGCCTTCCCAGGCCTGTAAATGGGGAGCAGGTGGGGCTGGCTGCTGGGAGGCCACCTCCTGAGCCCATTCTCCTGCAGATGCCCTGTGATTATCCCAAGTGGCAGAGCCCAGCCCAGGCACAGCTGGGCACGATGATGACTCACCAGCCCGAGAGTGACTCGGGCTTTTCACCATATCACCCTTGAGGGCAGAGATTGAGCTCCGTCCCCCACCCCCGAGCTGAGTCCGCAGTGCGGGCAGGAGGCTGCAGCTCCACTCGGAGCTCAGAGGAGATGGTGCCAATGTGTGCAAGGAGCCGGGGTCCTGCCGGGGCGTTTCCACTTGTCCCTGCACCCGGCTGAGCCTGGCGTCCGCCCATGGTAGGATTAGTTGTTTTCGTGGCTTCTACAGGGACACCCTTTACCCTGGGAGTGGCAGTGGGCTCCCCATCTTTTGAGACTTTGGGCAAGTTACTCACTGGCCTCATCTTTCCCGTCAGTGGGGATGGTGGTGACTCTTGCTCCATGGAGTTCAGTCATGTGCCCAGCAAGAATGCACAGTTTCAGGCCCCCAGGATTTAGAGGTACATGACTGCTGTGTGGTGCCCAGTGATGGGCAAAGACCACAAGTAAAGAGGGTGGTGGGAAGGGAGGCCCCAGGCTGTGCTCAGGGCTCCACTGGAGTGACCTGAGGTGGGGAGGGACCCTGCATCAGTGCCTCCTCTTCTGGGGCGGCCCCTCAGAGGCCCCCTGTCAGTGAGACCCCAGAACCGCAGATGTCCCAGGTGGGCAGGGTCTCGGGGAGCTATCCCATCCAGCCTCCCGACCATCTGCAGTGCAGCTGTTTCCTGCTGCTCACCGCTTTACAGTCCTTCTAACAAATGTTTGCAGAGCGCGCCCTGTACCAGGCACCCAGGATGTGGTGGGAATAAGACAGCCTGGGTCTTGACCTCTGGGAATGTATCCTTCTAGTGGGGCTCAGCAGTCAGTGAGCAAGGAAGAGCCATGGTGATCCATCAAAGTTCTAAGCATGTGAAGAAAATGAAACAAAGTGATGAGGGAAGTGCCTGGACGTGGCAGGGTGGGGTTATGTGGTGGTCCAGGAAAACCTCACTGTCCAGGGAGCAGTGACGTGCTGGTTACCAGCAAGAGCGTGGCAGGACTTCCCTGATGGTCCAGTGGTTAGAGCTTCCACTGCATGGGGGGCACGGTTCAATCCCTGCTTAGGCAATTAAGATGCTGCATTCCACGAGGCATGGCCAATAAAAGAAAGAAAGAAAAAAAAAACGAGGGTGGCACCATGTGAAGATCCTGGAAGGGAGTGTGAACTTTATTCCAGGTGCAGTGGGAAGTCCCTGGAGGTTGAGTGGATGGAACCTTTACAAGCTTCCCTTCAGCGGGACCCAGACTGACCCAGGTACTGCTCAGAAGCTGGCGGCTGAGCCTGGAGGAGGAGGAGGTCTTCGCCAGCCCTGCCCCCCACCTCGCTGCTCCTGTCCCCGCTTGCTGGGAAAGACGTCCAGGTTGGGGTTGAGGCTGTGAGAAGCCAGAGCCTCTGCCAGTTTCCAGAGATGCAGGGGAAGTGGGTGGGCTGTCAGTCACTCTTCATTGGCTGCGCGGGGCTGGGCGGTGCGTGCTATGCAAATGAGCTAGAAGCTGGTCTTCTGTTTGGAGTAGGAACCCAAGGGTGGGGGTGCCATGACGGCAGGAAGCTCACCCAGGAGCCACAGGAAGTCAGCTTCCCACACCCAGGGCTCTGGGCTAGCGGGAGAGTACAAAGTCTGGCCACACTACGTTAGCGGTGGTGGGTTCTTCCATCCCGAACCACAGGTCTCTTCACTCTGTCCTTTTCTCTTATCCCCCAGAATCCTAGTAACAATGATGGGTTGGGGGAGGCAGTGGTGGATGATATTTAACCTCTTAATTATGTTGTAGCCATAAAATGGTAAAAGGGTGGACTGCATGGCTGTTAAATGACGCCGTGATTGTAGATTTATTGGCGTGGAGAGGTGTTCACAGTTCAGTTTAGTCATGTCCAACTCTTTGCGACCCCATGAACAGCAACACGCCAGGCCTCCCTGTCCATCACCAACTCCTAGAGTCCACCCAAACCCACATCCATCGAGTTGATGATGCCATCCAACCATCTCATCCTCTGTCATCCCCTTCTCCTGCCCTCAATCTTTCCCAGCATCAGGGTCTTTTCCAGTGAGTCAGCTCTTCACATCAGATGGTCGAAGTATTGGAGCTTCAGCTTCAACGTCAGTCCTTCCAATGAATACCCAGGACTGATCTTTAGGATGGACTGGTTGGGTCTCCTTGCAGTCCAAGGGACTCTCAAGAGTCTTCTCCAACATCACAGTTCAAAAGCATCAATTCGTCGGCTCTCAGCTTTCTTTATAGTCCAACTCTCATATCCATACATGACCACTGGAAAAACCATAGCCTTGACAAGATAGACCTTTGTTGGCCCAGTAGTGTCTCTGCTTTTTAATATGCTGTCTAGATTGGTCATAAGTGGTTAAATAAAAGCAACTGGCTTACAAAACAGTAAGCAGAGGATCACATTGTTACCAAGTATATGGAGTCATATATTTAAATACTGTGGGATGAAAAGTAAATATTAAATGTCTGGGTGGTAGGATTGAGATGGTTTATACTTTGCCTTTTTGACAGTTTTATTGTAGTATAACTGACATCTGATAAACTTCACGTAAGTAAAGGGGGCAACTTGATACGTTTTGATATATGTGTACACCTGTGAAACAATCACCTTACACATGTGTGCATGTGTATGTGTGTGCATATGTGTGTGCATATATGTATTGTGGTCATGCCACACATCTTGTGGGCTCTTAGTTCCCCGGCCAGGGATTGAACCAGGCCCTCAGCAAGGAAAGCGTGGAGCCCTAACCCTGGACCACCAGGGAGTTCCCAGGAAAGCATTGAACTGGCCGAACCAAGAGGGAGAAGGTTCAGTGCCCATCTCCAGAGGGCTGGGCCGTGGCAGGCAGGCCTGTCTGGAACCTTGAAAGGGAGGGCTGGAGATCCAGTGGGACTCCAGGAGGAGAGGGCGGAGGAGGCCCAGGGCTGAGGCCTCAAGAGTCCGCTTGCGCTTCCCCAGGTGGCCTCTGCAACCTATGCGCCGACAGGGCCAACAGGGAATACATCCTGCAAGCGGGGGGCGTCCCCCTCATCGTCAACTGCCTGTCCAGCCCCAGCGAGGAGACCGTGCTGTCCGCCGTGACTGCGCTCATGGGCCTGGGCTCGCCCGGCGGGGGCTCCCACCCCGAGCTGACGGCCCGGCCTGTGGTCCAGTGCATGCTGCGCTTCTCCCTGTCGGCCAGCGCCCGGCTCCGAAACCTGGCCCAGATCTTCCTGGAAGACTTCTGCTCTCCCAGCCAGGTGGCCGAGGCCCGCAGCTGGCGAGCGGATGCCGCCCTGGGGATCCCCCTGCCGAGGACGGAGGCCCCACAGCAGCCCTGACCCGCTGCCCGCCAGACGAGACTGAAACCCTGGTGGGGGCTCCGGGAGAGGCGGCGGCGGCGGCGCGCCCACAGCGCGCCCTCTCCGCTAACGGCGCGCGCTCGGCCGTTTTCAAGGTGCACTTTCTCCACAGCAGGTATTTGCACTGTGATGAAAGGCCCCTGACGAGCGAGGAAGCCAGGCCTTAGGACGCGTGGACGGGGAAGCCGAAGATGCTGCCGTTTTCACGGGCCGCTGCTCTCAGCCTCGTGGAGAGGCCCTCGTGCCGGCACCCCCCCACCCTCGCCGGGTCCCACCCTCGCGGAGGAAGCAGCGCGGTCCCTGGACTCGCAGCCTTCGCAGGTGTTTCTCCTGAGGAACAGCTGGGCCTGGAGCTTAGGAGAATTGCCTGAGCTTGAGGAAGGAAGCATTCTCCCCAGCAGAGGTGTCTGGAGTCATTTTGAGACGCAGAAGTGAGAAGCCTTGCTGTTCAAAGTATATCACGGCTCCGGGAAGCTGAGTGAGGGTGGTGGTGTGCCCCTATCTGTGGAGGCTGGGTACCTGCTCCACAAGCTCTCCAGGCTGGGCATTCGGCCTGGTGGATGCTGGCCCTGAGAACTCTCTGGCTTAACTGTTGATCCGCACAGACCTGTCAGCCAGCCACCACGCTAGGGCCTCAAACACCAGAGTGTGCCCCCTGCTGTTGAGTCCAGCCCAGTGACTTACGGTGGCCATGAGGGTGACGACATGTCGGAGGACAGGCACGGACTCTTCGAGCAGTGTCTCCTCCCCTCCCCACCCCACGGTCCCCGCTTGGAAGCCCTGGCCCGCCTTCTCTGCCATCAGGGTTAGTGGGGGGGTCCCTGTGCCCGGAAGCATGTCTGGGGCTCAGGAGGGCCTTGGGGATGCAAGTAAGAGGGGTGCTGAAGGGAGGGGGGACCAGATGCTGACATAGAGTGCAGGGCTCAGAGTCCAGCGTCCGCCGCTCAGCACGGGGGAAGGGGTGTGGGCCCCCGTGGGAAGCTGGGGTTTGGGAGCAGGGGAAGGTCCTGGCCTCCCTTAAGGCTGACCTCTTACCTGACCAAGGAAAGGTGGCTCCAAGAGGAACGGTGTCCAGGTGGACATGGTGGTGGGTGGATTGTGGGACTAGTGGACTAAGGAGCCCAGAGGGAGGGAGGCGAAGGCCTCCTGGTCGGCCTGTATTCCCGCTGCCCCTCCAGAGGGTCCTGGCCCTTCCCTTTCCCAAATAAAAGGCCTTAAAAGAGCAGTGAGCCGAAGCGTTTTATTTAAAAGGTGCCTGTTCGCCGGCTGTCCTGGGAGGTTCCAGGCGGCCGGCGTCGGCGGCGCGCCCACAGCGCGCCCTCTCCGCTAACGGCGCGCGCTCGGCCGTTTTCAAGGTGCACTTTCTCCACAGCAGGTATTTGCACTGTGATGAAAGGCCCCTGACGAGCGAGGAAGCCAGGCCTTAGGACGCGTGGACGGGGAAGCCGAAGATGCTGCCGTTTTCACGGGCCGCTGCTCTCAGCCTCGTGGAGAGGCCCTCGTGCCGGCACCCCCCCACCCTCGCCGGGTCCCACCCTCGCGGAGGAAGCAGCGCGGTCCCTGGACTCGCAGCCTTCGCAGGTGTTTCTCCTGAGGAACAGCTGGGCCTGGAGCTTAGGAGAATTGCCTGAGCTTGAGGAAGGAAGCATTCTCCCCAGCAGAGGTGTCTGGAGTCATTTTGAGACGCAGAAGTGAGAAGCCTTGCTGTTCAAAGTATATCACGGCTCCGGGAAGCTGAGTGAGGGTGGTGGTGTGCCCCTATCTGTGGAGGCTGGGTACCTGCTCCACAAGCTCTCCAGGCTGGGCATTCGGCCTGGTGGATGCTGGCCCTGAGAACTCTCTGGCTTAACTGTTGATCCGCACAGACCTGTCAGCCAGCCACCACGCTAGGGCCTCAAACACCAGAGTGTGCCCCCTGCTGTTGAGTCCAGCCCAGTGACTTACGGTGGCCATGAGGGTGACGACATGTCGGAGGACAGGCACGGACTCTTCGAGCAGTGTCTCCTCCCCTCCCCACCCCACGGTCCCCGCTTGGAAGCCCTGGCCCGCCTTCTCTGCCATCAGGGTTAGTGGGGGGGTCCCTGTGCCCGGAAGCATGTCTGGGGCTCAGGAGGGCCTTGGGGATGCAAGTAAGAGGGGTGCTGAAGGGAGGGGGGACCAGATGCTGACATAGAGTGCAGGGCTCAGAGTCCAGCGTCCGCCGCTCAGCACGGGGGAAGGGGTGTGGGCCCCCGTGGGAAGCTGGGGTTTGGGAGCAGGGGAAGGTCCTGGCCTCCCTTAAGGCTGACCTCTTACCTGACCAAGGAAAGGTGGCTCCAAGAGGAACGGTGTCCAGGTGGACATGGTGGTGGGTGGATTGTGGGACTAGTGGACTAAGGAGCCCAGAGGGAGGGAGGCGAAGGCCTCCTCGTCGGCCTGTATTCCCGCTGCCCCTCCAGAGGGTCCTGGCCCTTCCCTTTCCCAAATAAAAGGCCTTAAAAGAGCAGTGAGCCGAAGCGTTTTATTTAAAAGGTGCCTGTTCGCCGGCTGTCCTGGGAGGTTCCAGGCGGCCGGCGTGGCGCTGCGCAGGGACTCGGTTCTGCCAGACTTCCCTGTCTGTCTGCCTCGCCCTCCTCCAGCCGCTGTTGGCGGCCTCATTGCTGGGGCAGCCCCAGGCGGTCGGGGTCCAGCGGCAGGGCTCCCCGCTTGCTGTCTATAATCTCCCTCCAGTTGTCGCTCCAGGAGTGCAGCCGTCTCTGAGGTGGGGGCAGGGCCAGGTGCTGGTTGTGGCAGCAGGTGAACAAGATGTGCTCCCAGCTGGGGGTCTCCTCTTGGCCTGGACGGGGAGGCAGGGAACCCGAAGTCCCTAATCTGGTTATCTGTACTCCCTCCCCCTAATCCCAGCAGGCCAGATGCCTGGAGGCGGCTAAGGAGGAAGTCTCCCCACCTTGAATGACCTCCTTGTCATCAATGAGTAGGTCCCCTGAGATCACGGTCTTGTCCCTCGTCACGATAATGCGCTCCACAAACTGGGGTCCCAGGTGCTTCTCCACCCAGCGGTACTGTGAGGTGGGCACAGGGTCAGCAGGGCAAGATGGGCCCCTGAACTCAGGGCCAGTGGGTGTGAGGGAGGGTCTACAGCTTGTGAGAGATACCCCCTCCACACCTCCCCCCACCAACTTTCTGTGTTTCTGTTGGGGTGTTGGGGTTTTTTTTTTTTTTTTTTGGCTGGGCCATGCAGCATGCTGGATCTCAGTTGCCCGACCAGGGATTGAACCCCTACCCCCTTGCATTGAGAGCACAGAGTCTTAACCTCTGGATTGCCAGGGAAGTCCCCCAGATGGCTTCTTTTAACAAATCAGAACTTAGGAAGCTAAGTTTGCCTGTGGAGCGCTGGGGCAGCCGCACCTTCTCGGTCACACAGTGGTCGTACTTCATCAGAGGACTGGTGCAGATGAAGACCTGGGTGCTGCAGGGAGGAGGCACGATTAGACGGGGTGGTGCCTGCCCCTGCCCCCCAACCTCCACTCCCTGCCGCTCTTCCTCACTCTTGCATGTCATTCATCTCCCGCATGGCTTCCAAGGCTCCAGGGATGGGCTCCAAGCCTAGGAAAAAGCCTGGGGCTTCAAACACAGTGGTCACTTTGTCCTGAAATATACAGCGTTCCCGTACTGGCTCTGCTCGCAGCAGACCTCAACCCCCACCCCCAACCCCCTGCCCCACACACAGCGAGGACTCTCAAAGGTGAGGTTCCTAGGGGGCTTTGGTCCCCAGATCAGAGTCCCGGGTGGAGGATTTTGTTTTAACGGTAAGGAAACACCCCCAACCCCCAGACTGTCTAGTCCCAAGTGAAGTGTGGATTCTGAAGTGAGAGCTTTGTTCATTTTAAACAGGAAGGTGTCGACGTGGAGCAGAGACAGTCCTGACCCAGGGGAGGCTCCCCGTCCCCGGATGTCCTGTGGGGTCGGAGCTCCCCGCTCCCGGGGCGGCCTCGCGCCGCACCCCTCCCATCCACCCGCTCCCTACCGCCAGGTCGGGGCGCAGCGCCCGGTACTGCTCGCGCGCGGAGAAGCCGCGGCGCTCCTCCAGCGGCACGTGCGGCTCCCCGGGGAACCGTTGGAGGAAGCCCCGCAGCAGGCCGGCCTCGAAGTCCGCCAGCACGCAGTCCATGTCCACCAGCACCCGCACGGGCCGCGCGCGCCGCGCCGGCATCCCCATCGCCAGCGCCGCTAGGCAGGCGACCCGAGGGAAACGCGGAACCGGCCCCGGGAGCGCGCGGAGCCGGGCGCGGGAACGGCTACTTCCGGAGCCGCGGCGGGCGGGGCCGGGCCGGGCCGGGCTGATTTGCTTGGGCGCCCGGGTGCCCCGCCCGCGGAAGCCCAAGGCCTTCCCCAACGCCCCCGACCGGACGTGGCGGTACCCGCGCCCCGCGTCTGGTCTGAGGGTACGCCTGCGTGGACATCAGCCGCCCTCCGCTCCAGACGGCCTCACTCACCCCCAAACGTGACTGGGCCAGACCTTCTGGGGGTCCCCTGGACTGTCCTGAATACTGGGGAGCGTCGTCTTAAACCTGTGGGCCGGCTCCGACCTTCTCAGAGCCCACACCTGCTCACCCCGCGGGGACAGGAGAGCTGCCTCCCGCGGCGTGAAGGCAGCACCAACCCAAGGCCCGAATCGCGGGGACCCCCAGGAGCTGAAGTGAGTGAATCTAAAGACAACAGGCTCTTGTGAGTACAGTTACTCAGAGATGAATTCACAAACCAGAGTTGGCTTGAAACATGGGAGCATCTACTTCAAACCTGTTCTGCCTGGAGAGGCGATTTTCCACCAGGCTCGGTAATCGGGACCATCCTTTCTGTGGAACTGACTTTCCTCTAGAATCCTCAATTATATCCTCTAAGAAAATGCTGGTCATGGCTAACTTTTATTGACTCAACTTTTTGTAGATTTCATGTAATTTCCTGAGTACAAGTAAATATTCTGTGCTTAGTCTGTCGAGTCCGACTCTTTGCGACCCCATGGACGGTAGCCCGCCAGGCTCTTCTGTCCGTGGGGGTTTTCCAGGCAAGAATACTGGAGTGAGCTGCCACGCCCTCCTCCAGGCCATCTTCCCAACCCAGGATCAAACCAGGTCTCCCGCATTGCAGGTGGATTCTTCACCGTCCGTGCCCCCAGGGAAGCTCACGTGTAAATATGTTTACTACAAACTAGATTCAGATTTCAGTGAACACCCCTCCCCTTCCTCATGCTTCTGTTCCATTGGGTTCTAAACACCCCAGTACTTCTAAGTGGAACAGAAGCGTGAGGAAGGGAAGCCTGGTGATCTAATTTTAAAATGCTTAAGAAGTAGACTAGGTATTAGCAGTAAATACCAAGCCACTTAAGTCACTGTGTAAAGAGCCGAGACTGTCATCAAAATGCTGACTCTTCTGCCGTCATCATTTTAAGTTCAACTTCACTTTCTAAACCATAAGCTTTCTGAGTGGGAAAATTCAACACCCTTAGCAAGCATGTTTATGAAGAATTTTAAAAATCTGTAATGGTACCAAAAAGACTGGCAGAAGTCCCTCACAACACTTTTGGACTAGGCACTTACCTTCATAGCACAGAGAGCTAAAGCCAAGTTCCAGTTATGACACAAATCAGGGAGCTGTCTTTCCCAGGTCTGCCTAGTTACTGAGAGAGAAGGGTGCAGGCTTCCTGCCTCTTTAGTTGTAACAGAAACCTTAACTCAGGTTATTTGTAGGATTAATCTGTTTCGGAAACATTGTATAGCACAACTGCCCGTTTTGCAAAATAATAAGAAAAACAACACCCCCACAACCTATGATTACCCTTTTTCTTTCCAAAGAGATGCTTATTAAGTCAAATGATCTGGTGGTTACACACCAGGCCTAAGTCATTTCAACCATGGTGGGGGGTGGTTAAAGGTGACCTGTTTCAAGTCTTTTTTTTTTTTTACTTTTTGGCCACACCTCTAGGATCTTAGTTCCCCGACCAGTGCCCCCTTGAAAGCGTGGAGTCTTAGCCACTGGGCTACCAACGAAGTCCCCAAAAGTCTTAAAGTTAGCAATCGACCTTCCAAATGACAAGCCCAAGGAATGCTGCTGATTAGCAGCACGGGTAGACCAAAAAGGCCGTCGGACAGGGCCCAGTTTGGACGTTTAATACCTCGATCTGGAACTCTCCCTAGAACCCAGTGTGCTTCCTCCAATCTCCTGTATCACTTGACAGGACTCAGATGACCTTGTCCCCTTCTGGCTACATGTCCCTTGTTTTCTTTGGAGCCCTCTCTTTGATCACCCACCATCCTGTAGGCATGAGGTAACTTAAAATTTTAATATCATATCACCCAGCAAAGGAGGGTAAGTGGTAGAAGAGTCCAAAGTGTATTGGCTAATAATTGTTCTGGAAGCCAGTTATCTGTATTACTCCTGTCTTTTACTGCCAGATGTCAGTTAATGTTCATTTTGGCATTCTGAACTCACGCTGACTTTAGACCTGTTTTCTTTAGAGAGAAGCCCACTTCTCTCTAGGCCTTCCTTAAGTCTGTTTTAATTCGAAGGGCTCATCAATTCATTGGCTAGCAGGGTTGTTAGTAACAAAGAAAAAAAACTAAGCAGGTAGAATTGCTGAAACAATCTCAAAAAGACGACACAGGACACAGTGTTTCAAAATTTGTACATCATTTACTTTAAGCAACAGTCCAGGATTGTGAAGTACAACACACAGTTTAAGGATGAGACTTTCGTTTCATGGTCAAGCACCAGCATCATGCACACAGCTTCAAGTTATCTAAGAAGAGCACTGCCCTCAGGGGGTCCCTTCCCCAAGAAGACCCCGCCCCCGCTTCGCCGCCTGGAATTCACCAGTCTGAGTGAACATCGAAGCCTTCCTCTGCGTGGGAGCAGCAGGCTTGGCTCAGCCAGTCTGTTAAGTATCTGGCTTAAATATATCTTAAGGTTCAGAAATAAAAGGCAATTTTTTGTTTTACTTTTTTTTTGTTTTGCAGGCGGCAAGGCAGAGGGCACAGGCCTTTTATTGCCCCATGTGGCACAGGAGGATGCTTTTAGCAAAGGGCACCGACCAGTTAGGGCCACAGCAGGTAGGTTCGGCATCAAGACGACCTTGTTTGGGGCCTGAAGGGACGGCGCCTGTGGGCTGTTTACTGGTCTGTCAGATCCAGGCTTGGTAAACCCAAGTAAAGCTGACCAAAAAAGGGTTTTAAAAACCTCAGTACAAAAGATCCTCTAACACATCTGAAACCAAATTGTTTGTTCTTAAAAACACGGTACTAAGTGTCACAAAGCTTTCCCTCCAATCTACTACTAGAAAACACTCATGCCAAGGCCTACAGACCCAGAGGAATCAGGACAGACAGAGAACCTTCCAAAAAATAAAAATAAAAAGACAGCAGTACATAAAGTGCTTCTTTTTTAATGAAACAAATCCAAAAGATGTACAGTCAGGCTCAAGTTGTGCAGTTCACAAGCATGGAAAAAAACAAAGAAACAAAACGACAGGGTTCCGGGCAGGCAGAGCTAACCCAGGACGAGGCTGGACTTGCCGCCAGGGGGGTTCCTCCGGGATGGCACGGGCGCCGGCGCCACTGGGCTGGGTACAGGGGCGGCAGGCACAGGCTTCTCCTCGCTCTGCCCCAGGCTGGCCTGCAAGTCTGTGTCCACGTTTTCTAGGAAAACAGCATGAAGTTAAGACTAGTAACTATTCGCAGTGAAGATGACAAGTCTAAGTTTGGGGGGAGGGGAGCTTTTTGGCGGATGGTTCAAACCACGCCTAGAGCTATAAAGAAAAAAAAACAATTAGCACGTGGCCACTACCCATAACCGGCCACTGTGAGTGTTCGGCCACTGTGAGTGTTCTGCCGTATGTGTCCCCAGGTCTTCCTCTGTGTACATTCTTTTCTAAATTACATAAATATATGGCAACTTAAATATTTTAAATGAGAACAGCGCAGATAAGCTCTAGGTCCCTGACCACCACTCCACTTCTGGGTGGGTCTGCTCTCCCTATTCCCAGAGGCCCTACTACTAGTTGTGTGCATTCCTCTAGTCCATTTATTTGATGTAAGCTTTGTGTATTTTATTTCCAGCATATCACAGACAATCTTGTTTTTATTGTATTTAACATAATCGGTATCAACTTGTAACTTTTGGAAATTTACCCCCACTTATACACATGGTCAGGTGCTTCCCTGCCGGCTCAGTGGTAAAGAATGCACCTGCAATGCAGGAGACTCAGGTTCAGTCCCTGGGGCGGGAAGATCCCCTGGAGGAGGAAATGGCAACCCAGTTCACTCCAGTAATCTTGTCCAAGAAATCCCGTGGACAGAGGAGCCTAGGGGGCTACAGTCTATGGGGTCACAGAAGAGTCAGACACACTAAACAACATACACATGGTCGTATTTCATCTTGCTTAATTCATTGCTTTCTAGTATATGTACAGTATATATGATTAATCCTCGACTTGAACTGTGGTGTTGGAGAAGACTCTTGAGAGTCCCTTGGACTGCAAGGAGATCCAACCTGTCCATCCTAAAGGAGATCAGTCCTGGGTATTCATTGGAAGGACTGATGCTGAAGCTGAAACTCCAATACTCTGGCCACCTCATGCGAAGAGTTGACTTATTGGAAAAGACCCTGATGCTGGGAAGGATTGGGGGCAGGAGGAGAAGGGGATGACAGAGGATGAGATGGCTGGATGGCATCACTGACTCGATGGCCATGAGTTTGAGTAATCTCTGGGAGTTGGTGATGGACAGGGAGGACTGGCGTGCTAAGATTCATGGGGTTGCAAAGAGTCAGACACGACTGAGCAACTGAACTGACAGCCAAAAAGTAAAACCAATCTGACCATTCTGAAACTGTAATGCGTATACTCTGGAACATGGGCCCAGGGGGACACTCGCTGTCATCTTCAGTGTGAACAGAGACTGGGCACCTCCTTCCACAGTGGCAGTACAGGTCCACTCTACGCCCACGCCGGAGCATCCTCTCCTCACATCTGTCCACTTCCCCCACTTGATAACCACCTCAGCTTAATATCTGCCTAAGTGATGGGTGAAAAAATATTATTTAATTCTGTCATGTGTTAACGTTTCCATGATTAATGAGTGAGGCTGACTTTTTTGAGGTTGACTTTTTAAAAACCATATAATATCCAGCTGTATAGACATTTATTAAAGACTCCACCCCCACCCACTGATGGTCAATTATCTTAATCCAGTTACTCCCATCATATCGACCCTGCCCTTTCCTCATTAAAGTCTTAAGAACCAGTGTTATTATCATCCAATGTCCTAGATACTGCTTGACTGATTCCCAGACTGACTTGTGAAATTCTCAACCAGCATATAGGAATCCTTAACCAGGTGGTTGCCACTGATTCAAATTCAAGACTAATTGCAGAAGAAAAAATGCATTATTTTCTGAAAAAGGTAATTTTTATGAAGAGTTTAAGGTATATCAGACTAATTAATAAAAAAAAAAAAAAAAAACGGCCAGATCTCTTCATTTCAGTGTTAAACCTTAAATTCTGTTGCATATTCTAACACCTACCTTGCAATAATCATACAGAGGCACCTTTAGTATAAAAAAACTAAGATATTTATAAGACTTAGAAGAAAAACTACCTTAAGGTTTAAAGACATTTATTCCCTTCTAGTTTAGAAGTTTCAAAACCCTGGAAGCAGGGAGGCAGAAATACTGGTTATGAAATATGCTATGTAAGAACTTCATACGCACTCATATTAGACACCAATGCAAAGTACTAACTCCAAAAAAATTACTCATAAAAAAAAAGTTCCTCATAAGACTAAACATTAAAGGTCCACATTGCTAAAACCACTTGTACCAAGTTTTCATTCAGCCGACTGAAACAGAGAAGTTCAAGGAGGAAGTCTTAGATCAGAAACATAACATCTCAGAAATATGCTACTGCTGCTTTAAACATTTCATTTCATGAATTTTTGGACTGTTCGATAGAACTGACTTCTAAGGCATATAATGTTCTATACTATTCAACTACAGGTAAAAATGTAGTAGGCGCTTTTCAAGATGACAGCACTCAGTTATGAACCGAAGCTTGGCGAGAAAGGGTTACCCCTCAGCTTCCTGTTGCACAAGGAACAGAACCAAATGCATCAAGACAAAGTCCCTAAGTCCTCCGACAAGTGCCCTTAAATAACCTAGGAAGTATGTCCACTTTACTGCAAATACAAACAAAACCCAAGAACCCACATTTTAAAGCCATCCAAGATAGACGAACACAGACCATGACCTCAGCCTGAACCAGCCTATCAATCCAAGCTGTTTCATTTCTACCAGGAAGACAGCCTCCCCACTGGCCAAGACCTAACTGAATTCTCCACCATCTGGGCCAACCAGCTGAAGAACACTTCAGATGGACACAAATGTTACCCTGTATGGTAGTTTATTTCCATAAAGTGATTTTTAGATAAACAAGCTCATTCCTACCAATCTCATGTTTGCCTTTATCATTATGAACGGAGTCGCTCTGTCTTTCACAACCGGGCAACAACAAGCCAAAAGAGAAAAAGGGGAGGGAAAAAAGCACCTATGGAGACTACACGACCACAGGCCGTAACCTAAATGCTCATTTGTCCAGTCAGAAATACTCTGGCCAGGGAAGATGGAGGGTGGCTTGTTACTTCCTTGAGTCTGTGATAAGTACAGGAATTGAGAGTAAAGCCTTTAGAAACTTCTATGGGACTTGACAGAACTTTGTCTACTGAATCCAGTAATTTAAAAGATATTTTTGTTTTTTGAAACAAAATTATGGCTTCTGCCATAATATACATCCTATATACTCCTTACTTGTCTGTCTTCTCTGGCACACCAGTAAGGTAACTGATCAGACACCAATGTCAGAAGAGAGAAAAAAAAGATTCATCTAAGGATCACAAAATTAGAACCTCTAGAAAACACAACAGACTTGCCCAAAGGCAAGTAAAGACTTCTGCCCAAGCTTCCTGGACGTTCTCCCTCTTTCTTCAAGATTTCCGAAGTCCTCAGTATAGACATTCCTGTGTTTAATTATCCCAAAGATGAAGGCAGTATATCCAAGCAAGATCTGCTTTGTTTAACTGAGCAGAACTGGTTGGCTTTGCAGTGAAGCTGCCGACAGAACTGGGGTAGACTTTTACTCACCAGGCATGGTCTGAATCGTCATGCCCCTTGTCATTTTATGAGAGACGAGCTAAAAGTAGCAGCATTCAGGAGCAGAGAATAATCAGGTGCCACCGACGATCGTTTAAAAACCACAGAAAGGAAGGACTTGTCATGTTGTAAATGCAGTCACCTGTGCTACTCACCTGGAGGCTGCGTATCACTGAGCTGGGGGTTGGGAGAATTTCTTCTTTTTTTCAGTTACAGCACAAGAGTTTTATTCAGCAAAGAATAGTATACCCTCGAGGCATGAAGGCGGGCTGAGCCCAAAGGACAGGCTAAGAGAATTAATTATCAGCAGGACAAATGACATATATTTCCATAACTTCAGGCTCTCACATACTGCTCTGGGCTCCCCAAATTTGTAATTCTATTCATTGACCAAAATTAGTGAATAAAGATTAGCTGCTTCGTGGGCCTCTCTGGTGGCTCAGTGGTAGAAGAGGAGAGAGGGGTTTGATCCCTGGTCGGGGAAGATCCCGCACGATGTGGAACAACTGAGCCCGTACGCCACAACTATTGAGCCTGTGCTCCAAAACCAGAGAAGCCACCACAATGAGGAGCCTGATCACCGCAACTAGACAACAGCCACCGCTCACTGAAACTAGACAAAAACCTATGCAGCAACCAAGACCCAGCAGAGCCAAAAATAACTAAAATTGTATTTTTTAAAAAACATTAACTTGCTTGTTATTATTCTTGCGAAATAAGGTCTGACATTGGAAGTATTTCTGAATACAAAAAGCAGCGGAATCAAAAAGTCTAGAATTTTTTTTTTTTTAACCTCCAGAACAATCTTTTTAAATGGAACAAGCTAGACAGAAACAAAAACTAATACACCTTCAGTCCAATGAGAACGCAATCTGTCCGCGGAGCGAAAACCCAGGAAGAGTTCACAACTGTTTAGAAGATTTTCCTCCCCTCACGCCCAGCGAGAGACAACGAGACAACCAAACAGGAATTTCTGTTTTCCTGGAAGACTGACTCGCCAAATGTAATGGCAGAAAAAAGCCTTGAGGAAGCGGCTTCGTCCCAGGCTGGCTGCGTGTGGCCAGGTCAACTTGAACCTGATGCCTGCAGGCCAAACAACGCGTAAACCTCACATCACATGCACCGGCAATTCTCTGGCACTTGTTAAAGAAGTGCCAATAAATACTTCAAAGATTTTAAATAATTAAATGATTACAGCTCTTTTCCACTTATAATTTGACGATGTGGGTGCCAACTGAAAATTTACACCTGCCCGCTAAAGTCATCATTCACAAGATCACAGGGTTACTGGTGTCTTGCTGAGTAAGCACTTCAGTAGAAAATCAAACTGTAAATTTAATGCTGAGGTCTGAGCTTGAGATGCCAGAGACAGTTACTAAGAAGCTCTCACTGAGTGTAACAAATACCAACCTGATTGACATCCGTCTGTTCTGAAAGCTTTAGGAGGTTTCCAGCCTTGTTCTCGTTGCCGGCTGTGCTTGCTAGCTTCCATTTTGCTTTCCTCTCCCCTTAGAGGATGGACGCTGGCACCTGGGGCTCTGCCAGGTTCACTCTCCAGCCAGCCTCTTTCCCCAGGACATGACTTGAGTCAAAATTCAATCTATTCTAACATTTACAGAACCAGAAATTGGCATACTTTTTTCAGACATACTCACCATGAATGTCACCTTCTCCCTGGAAAAGAAAAAAGTTAAAAAACTTTACTTCAGATTTTAATTTGGCCACACACAAATAAAACAATCATAGTTCAGAGAAGTTACTGTCTGTCTGAAGATAGATGTCAAATTTTGTTTTGATGTCAGTCAAGTTCAAGGTCAAGGTGCCCTTTACAATAAGCAGCCTCTATTCAACTTGGAACAATGCTACACAAAAACGCTACTGGACAGATTGCCCCAGTGCCAGTAACATGGTCAAAACACCAAAAGCGTTCACACTGACAGTGATGACCTAATATCAGTTAGAACTTCAGAGGAGCTTTCATCAGAACGGGAAACTGGTAAACCTATCTTTCCACCCCCTTTCCTTTCTTTCTAATCTAGCTGTTGAAGGGCCTTCATCAATTCCAAAGCCCTTCTACTGGTCTCCCCACTTTCAGGCAGCTCCTGTCTCTGTGTGCCCCGAGGTCCCCGCTCAGGGACATCGCACAGGCTTTCCAGACAAACGCCTGGGGCCTAGGGGCCGTGCTCATCTGCAGACAACCGATGGTAACACCATGCTACAGCCTCCTGCAGCTGAGCTCAAAATAACAGGCCATATTTGCCAACAACTAAAACATCCTTGAGCTCAGATATGCCACTATGTGTGAGAGACACAGGAAGTGCGAGTGATCCGGTTTCAAAAATCAATACTGAAGGATAAAGACTAACCCAGCTGGTAGCAGAGACACATGAACAGACCAAGGTCACATGAACTCATCTTTCTGATCTACTCTATCAATCTTCCATCACCAGTACAGCCAGTCCCTTCCCTAATTACCTCTCTGTATAATAAAAATCCAGTGGATAAAAACCTAGTGGGAGAAAAAGTTCAGGGATGATTGGATAAATAATTTAATAGAGGCTCTTTGCCCTGGGTATTAACTCCAGGGATCGAGATCATAAGCAAAGCCTTTAGGGAGTTAGGATAGACAGATGCCCTTTGAGAAACTGTTGCTAGAGTGATACTGATGATGATGGATGGGAAAGATTCATGGAAGTTACAGGAAAGTGATGTCTAAGAACGACGCTTATGCCCCTGTCAGTGACCTCCTCCTTACCCCTGCCCCACCGCCCCACCCCTCTCCATTTATGCTATTTTCTCTTTACCTGTATTTCTATTTACTAATATTGTATTTTTTGATGTTATAGTAAAAATTCAATAAAAATCTAGTGGTTAAGTGCAAAAAAAAAAACAAGCCCCCCAAACTCCAATGGCAAGTCTCAGTACAGTGGAGGAAGGGCGGGAGGCGGTGTGAGAATTTCATTTCTAAAGGGCGTAAACCTCAAAAAGCCTGTCTCTTCCCCTATATTGTTGCACTGACCTTCAGATCTAAGAAGTCTCCAGAGTTCGCTTCAGAAGAATTCCTTCTCTGGGGTCCAGATGACTCAGAATCTTCCCTGCCCCCACTAGACTTGGCACCTGAATCAAAATATACTTTCAGGAGGAATACCAGGGAAGACCTAAAGCAAGCCACTATTTAATGAGTTCACATCACATGACAACATGAGTCAACAGTGTTAGGGCGTGACGGCTAATAAAAACGCCTCAGAGGGGCCACATGAGCCAGCCTGATGGCTCTCCTTGCTCTTGGCCACCACACCGACTCCCAGCATCTCCCCTGTCTTAGCCCTCCATCTCTTCTCCTGTGACAAGCTTTAATTGTTTCCCGTGATTAAGCTAGATATTACTCAGCAGCACAAAACCAGCTGCGGTGGTCCTGCTGGGCCCACCCCTGACCAGAGACTAGCAGTACCTGCAGACTTGGCCCAGGAAGGGGGGTTTTCCTCGGGTGTCCCGAAGATGCTGGAGGCCATCTTGTTCCTCCTCACGGGTTGTTCTGTTGGTTCATCAAAACCCAACGAAAAATTGGATCCACCGCCGGGAGGCCGCAAAACCCTAGAAATGATGGCGAAATGTCAGTTTCAGATCAGATCAAGACGTTTCCTGGTACGTGTTTTCAAACACCTTTCATTTTAGTTCCCCCACCCACTGATTCCACACACACACACCCTGACAAAAGAGAACTGTTAATGGGAAAATTACGAATTGATTCCAATGTGGTATAAATTCAACGATGGACCTTAAGGTGGCAAGGGTGTGCAGCGCACCAGGCAGCTGAAACAGTCCGAAAACACCAACAGCAGGCTGGACGGCATCCCCTTTTAGGAAAAGGCCAGAACCTCATGGAGCCTGTCTGCTAGGCTCAGCTAGACACATTCGCAAATTAGTTTAGAAGCACATCTTGTTATTTATTTTTAAAAAAAAAAAGGTTCCATTTTTATTTCCAACAAAAGATTTTAAATGGAAGAGTACACATATAAAAATAAACTTGACCAATTTAGAAGCCCAAGGAAAGCTCGTAATCGTCTCTCCCACCTCAGCAGCATTCACAAGCCCTGTTTACACACGCGTACCTCGCTATTCTCACTAACGATCGTGCGTGACCAGTCACAAGGAGACAGTCAATCAAGAGTTAAGTGTAGGACTCCGCGACATGCTCTACACCATGAACCTTTAGACACCATCTATAGCTCTTGTGTTTGACAAGGAAATATGGCACTTTTCCATTTCCAGATCTTCCGGTCACAGGTTGACCAATTTGTCCCCTCCTTGAAAAAACTCAATTTAATTTGTCCTATCACTACTCAAAACAGAAAATGGAGATGGTTTCATGGGAAGATGTGCTATCTACAGATTCAGTTCCTTTATGGTGATGGGAGTGGTCTATTTTTCTGTTTCTTAAGTCATTTTGAGTAAGAAACATTTCTCTAGGAAGATGTCCATTTCATTCAAATTTCCAGATAAATCCAGTTGTCATTTGTAAACTCAGCTCCTTATATTTGAAAGGAAAGGGAAAATTGGCATAAATTCTCTTCTAAGTACCCCTCCAGAGGCATCCCCAAGTTGTGATTTTTGTTTCATTCTAAATATTTTCTCATTTTCATTATTTTCTTCTTTGACCCATAAATTATTTAAAAGTACATTTGTAAATTTGCAAACATAGGTCTTTCTGGTCTGATTTCCAGCTTTTCTTTATAATACAGACGGGGTCTGTGTGACATGTTCCTTTGAAATGTGATGTTTTATGGCTTCATTTTAGAAATCTTCTGTATCTGCTTGAAAGGAACATATACTTGCCAGTGTTCTATATGTATACTAGATAAAGCCTATTAATTGAGTTGTTCAAAATCTACCGATTTTCTATTTTGGCTGCGCCACATGGCCTATGGGATCCTAGTTCCCACCAGAGATCAAACCCACAGCCCCCCACACACACTGGAAGCACAGAATCCCAACCACTAGACCACCAAGGAAGTCCCATCAAATCTACTAATTTTTAAATATGTTTTATCAATTACTGAGATTCTGTTACCAACTTCTACAATGGGGGTTTTTTCAACTTCTCCTCAGGACTCTGTCAAGATAAGAGCTCTCTCTCAAAAAGACCACCACTGGAGTATTTTATTTGGTTCAGTAGGGAGAACTGTGATGGATTAACTGGCCAGTCATTTTGATTAAAGGAACAAACCAAATATATATTCCTGAGTCACTTCATTTACCACAATAAATTCCAGCTAGGTCAAATATTTAAATTTAAAGCCTAAGACAAAAATATTGGAAGAAAACACGTACAAATATGGTTCTAGTCATGAAGGCTTTCCTTCTAAGCACAAGATGAAAGCCAGAAACCATGAAAAATGGACAGATTAAACTTGGCAAAAATACACATATTTGACAAAGGATAATAGAATTGCTTTTAAAATAATTAAAAGAATCATGAGAAAAATTAAAATGGACAAAAGGTACTAACAGACAATTAAAAAATATGGACAGTCTCTAAACTTTAAAAATTCAAATTCACGAGCAAGTAAATGAAACCTAAAACAAAAGAATATATTTTTTGCTTATCAGGTTGGTAAAGATGAAAAAAAATGCCAATTTCTGGTGTGAATTAAAGTGTGAGAATATAAATTTGCATAAACTTTCTAGATAAAATGTATCATGTGTTTAAATTTGCATCTTCCGTGAACCAGGGAGGGGGTTCTACTTCCATAAGTTTTCCTAAGTAGATAAGCAGACATATGTACAAGTAAACCTGCAGATGCAGGCTTGGTCAGGCCTAAGCAGACAGAAGCAAACTGCTCGGACTTCCCCTCTCAGCTGTATCTAGTTCTTACCATCTTCTCCAACCCAGTCAGGCCACATTCTTCCCTGTTCTGTGAACTGTTCTGCCTTATCTCCACCTCAGAATATTTACTCCCATATTTCCTCCTGCCCAGAGCACTTTCCACCCTTTCCTCAGTGACTGCTTCAAAATCCAGCCCATTTCTTAAACCTTCTCCTCCTCTAGGAAGCCCTCCATGACCTTGAGGAATAAGCAGTAGGACGCCGAGAGGAAAGAATGTTAGATACCCTCTCTTTCTGGTCACCAGTTCTTTCTGTAAAGGACCAAACAGTAATTATTTTTGGCTTCTGGGTCATTCGTTTTTTTGCAGCTATTCAGCTCTGTAACACAGCACAGAGGCAAGCCACAGACAACGTGAAAATGAATGAGGGCAGCTATGTTCCAATAAAGCTTTATTTATGGACACAAATTTGATTTTCATGTCATTTTCACAAGTCATGAAAGACACCTCTTCTGGCCTTTCTCAGCCACTTACACTGGTAAAAAGCAGGTGCCAGCTGGACTTGGCCGTAGGGTGTTAGTACACTGGGCTCTGCCTCACTTTTTAAAAGAACAGAGTCAGGCCCGGAGAAGTTCTAAGTGAACGGCCCGACTTCAGTTAAGTAACAGAGTTGGGGCCAACCCCCACTTCACCCTCCCTGCCTGGCAGGCACATAAAAAGGGCTCAAAGTGAAGTGAGGGGATCACTCCATACCATTTTCTCTTTAAACTACAAACCTACATAGTTGGTGTTCTGATTGCTTTTCATGTTTTCTACACTGAATATATTTCTTATATAGGTCCTCTAGTATCCTTCCCTAGATCTAATATTCATGTCTCTCCATAGTAAAACTCAGTACTCAATTTACACTAAATTTAAATGTCATTATTATTTTCCAGGGGTGGGGGAAATCCATTGTGTGCTTTTATAACATGTAAAACATGTAAAAGCCCACTGTTTGTAAGTCTCCCATATTAAATATTCACTTAGATTAAATTCATTAAATGAATTAAGAAATCATGTTCAGGCATACCTCTTATAATTTGGGGTCTGCTAATAAAACTGTTTAAATAATAATTAAAGATATGTTACAAATTCTTAATAGTCATTCTCTATGTTAAAGTTGGAAGTGACTAGGCTTTTATCATTTGTACCTCAAATCAACAGACACTTGCAATATTATAATCAAAATTAGCTTCCTTCAGAGACTTCCCTGGCAGTGCAGTGGTTAGGGCTCCATGCATCCACAGCAGGGGGCATGGGTTTGATCCCTGGCAGGGGAATGAAGAGTCCCCCCCCCAAAAAAACAAAATTAACTTGTTTCACTGTCATCCCCTTCATTCCCCAGAGATGAGAATGATTTTCCTTACTATCATAATTAAATTCTCATGAATTATTTCAGCCAGATGAAAATCTTCAAAACCCTAATAGGCCAGGAAAAAAAATTTTTTTTTTTTTACCTTAAAAAAGGAAAAAAGACACTACAATCCGATCACCAGCTTAAAAAAGAAAGTCAAAGCTCTGACCGGCCCAACTTTTTAAAGGTCTGTGTCCCTCCTGCAATAGCAGGTTCTACCTACTCCGATGACGTCAGTGTTGTGGAGCCCATTTGTAACAGCGAGACATCCCCAAACAAAGGATCTGGATCATAAGAGAAATTATTTCAATTTTATTTTCTAAGATCTTGCTATTCTTCCTGAACTATGTGATAACAAGATCAGAATTACATATCTGAGACTCAACAAGAATGTGTCCATGAACTGCAGGTAGCAATTTTCAAATAATACTCTATTTCTTTCTTATCTCTTTAAATCCCAGAGTTCCCATATGAGCTTTGCAGATCATTCCCTACCAGACTAAATTTATAATGTGTTTATGGAACCAGGAAACTGTTACCGGAGAAAAGAAGTTTAAGAGAATTAGGTGAGAAGGAAAGGTAGGAAGTAAATAAAAGGACAATGCTACATAGTCTTAAGATAACAATATTGGAGGAAAACTGATGACAAAAGGAGGTTAAAACATTTATTTTGCAAAACCAAAAGTCATGTATGTCTCACATTTCAAAGCCACAAATCAAAAAACTAGTGTGAGGATTCATTTCACCTGGTTGCTTAAATTCTTTATGAATTCGGCACTACACTGCACTCAACCCCAAAGGATCAAAACCTCTGATTTTTTAATAGAATGCTTGAGTTTTCGCATTCCAATCACTACAGTCTGATCAGCATAAAGTTGACCGGAGGGCACAAAATGAAAAACCAAGGTTCAGTTTGTTCCAGTGTCCTCCGGAAAAAAAAAAAAAAAAAAATCTCACTGGAAGGATGACAAGAGCAGAGGGAGTGACCCGGGTTTGCGTAGGTCTATCTACTCAAGTTCCCCTTCCTCCGAGCAGCACACTGATTTCGTTTTTAAAATCCTTCCTTCTTTTCTACATTTGAAAAGGCAAAGAAGGAGTTGAAGAAGAATGTCATTTCCAACATACCTCCTCGGCCTCACTGCCGAGGCCTGCTTTTTGTCGCCAAGGACCCCAGCCCCTAAGAGACACTGCTCTTCCACGGCTGTCTTCTTAGCCCCACAAAATGGCTCCCTTTGTGCCGCTTGCCCAGGACCCCAAGGCTGCCCACACATGACGGCGGGTCGTGATCACTGAAGAAGAGAGGCTCAGAAAAAGTGGAATCTAAGCGGCCTCCAAGCCTCGGGCAGGATCCCAGAGACGCCTGTGTCCCACCTTTTAAGAACAGCCTGCGTGCAATTAGCCGAGACAATGTGGACATCTTCCACCGCATCCAGAGCCTTCCACCAAGTTAGACAAGGGCTCGGAAGAGAGGCCCTCCCAGTCCACACACCGTGCCCAGGGCCCCCTTGCCTGGCTGCAGTGGCATGAGTGGCCAGAAAGGCCCGGGCTGCGCAGGTGGAGATAGTACGGAAGAGACAATGGATGTCTCGGGCCCCGCCCAAGAACAGGAAACCTTCTCCATCCAGCCCGGGAACCCGGGCCAGAGGTGAACTCATTTGGCAAACGTCAAAGGGGGAAGCGAAAGAGGTGGGATGCGAAGACCGAGGTCCGAAGGTTTGAGCGCAGAAAACCCACTTGGAACGACACGCTTCCCCTCCCATTCGGAGGTGGGCGCGGGAGGGGAAGGAGCAGGGGTCTTTCCTTTGTTAGCGGAGGGGAGGCACTTGGCGGAGGGTTTACGGTTGGGTCCCGAACGGGGGCGGGGATCGTGATGACCAGCCCCGCCCGAACACAAATGCCACCTGCCAGGCGGACCCAAGTGGGCAGGAGCCCGCCGGACCCGATCAATGCGGCTGCAGGATCTGACCGCCACGCCGGGCGCGGGGCCACCACCTGCTCCGTGTCTAGAGACACGAGCGCGTGGCCGGGGGTGGGACAATGGGGCCAGATCAAGGTGCCCCGAGGGCTACCCGCACACCTGGGGCCCAAGACCACCGCCCTGGGGGCGAGCCGGCCGCGCCGCAAAAGGCAGAGAGCGAACCCTCTCAGCACGTCCCGACTAACGAAAACCCGCCGCGCAGCGAGCGCGAGCGGCCCCGGCCCTTCCCAGCCACTTGCTTCGGGGGAGGAATGAATGGGAGAGAAGCAGGAATCGGGCGGGGCCGGCGCGTCAAGCTCGCCGGCCGCACGAAGGCGGAGCCGGTGGCCGACCCCGGCCACTCGGCCGGGCGAGAGCGCAGCGCCCCGGGCACGTTACAGCCAGCAACCGGCCACCAGACCCGCCCGGCCCCCTGGGCAGCAACCCTCACGCCCCGGAAACTCCTCGCCTCACCGGGAGCTGTTCCTGCTGTTGGGGTCGACGCCCTTGAAGGTGGTGGTGGTGGTCATGGCGCCGAAGAGCGAGGTAGGCTGGCGCGGAGCAAAGCGCTGAAAGGGTCAGGTCGGAGGGGCGCAGAGAAACTCTCCACCCAAGAGTCGGCGACCGCTGCAGGAGCCTCCGCCGCCGCCGCTTGCCGGCCGGACCACAGCTTTTATAGGGCTCGCAAACCCCCGCCCCCACCCCGGCGGCATTGGCCGATTCAAATGAACCTGTTCACTCCTATTGGCTCCCTGGAGTGCCAAGCATCCTGCGGCGTCACGACAGGCTGAGACGGGCCCTGCTCAGCCTAAACCCGCCCCCTTCCTGATCAGGGAAGGTCTGGGGACGTTTCCCTCCCCCACCCCCAAATCTCGGAGATGATTGGACAAAAGACAAACCTGTCCCGCGATCCGTACAAGTTGTGCTCGCTGTCACTTAAAAAAGTTACCTTGTTAGAAGGAAAAGCTCGCTCTGGGCTAGGTGGAAATCGCAAATTGAGGATAGGTTTATCTACCGTTCATTTATGTTGCCTTACTCACGGCGGGTAGCAAGGGCATGCTCCTCAAGAGAGGAAAACGGCTGCTACAAATCCACGTTTATTGAATACCTACTGCGTGTCCTGCCTGGAAAACTGACAGTCCCAAAGCAGCAGCACTATGAGTCAGCAACAGAAAGCACACGAAGACGATCCCTTGTAAAACGACGGGAAATTCTTTACATTTTAATGTTACTATTTAGCTGTAACGCGTGGCGCATGCACTAAACCAAAATTACAGTCGTTCCGATTTGAGGGCCGGTTCTTAAGGCTGGTTCATGCCGGGCTTCGGGGAATGGCCACATCCCTTGCTACTAAGGCCACGGGAGTACTCCAGGCCTCTGCAGCTGTCATTAAGCCGTTAAGTCATGATCTCCCACCTGTCTGGGTAAATCTATCCCCACAACAAATGCAGACACACTTGCAGGGCTCAGGAATGACTGTTTATAAGATCGTAATAGCAAAGTCTTGGGCAAACCAGAGGCGAGGCCTTCCCGGTCACGCTATTTCCTCAAGGCAGATCTCTTTATTTCCCATAAGAAGTGAACTACATTCCTCTTTGTGTGGCCTCCTCCTTCCTGGCCATCTGTACTGGTTAACCACTCTCCTGGGTTTTCATAAGAAGCCAGAGACAAGCCCTCCTCTTCCGGAAGGCCTGGGTCATGTGTTTATGTGCTTATCACAAAAGCATGAAGCACACCACTTGTTTGGATTAAAATCTCTTTCCAAAGTCTGGACCTAAAGTTTCAAACAAACTTTAGGTAAACACAAACCACCAAAAAATTTCTTCAGGCCAACCTAGTGAGCATGCATCCCCTCTTCAAAAGTCAGTTATTAATTAGGAGGTAGTGGAATATGGTGATTGTGAGCGCAGGGTCTCAAAGGAGAAATTCGGGTTTGAATGTCAATCTTACCTTTTCTGAGCACTGTTTCATTTGCAAAACAAGGATAGACTAGTATCTAGACTCCATAGACTTGAGAAGACTGGATGAGGTAATGGATATAAGGAACTTGTCGTGACAGATCATCAACATGATAGCCATTTTTATTATCAGACTTACTTGGAAAGTAACCACATTTGTCTTTAAACAATCTGCAAGTGGTTCTGTTAAGTTAAATGAGGGATTTAGACTTTCGCCTACATTTTTGAGTTTGTACTGGTTTGCCTTATTTCCTCTGGAAACCAGAAAGTCTATGTTCTAGTTCTGCTTACTCCCGATTTAAGACACTTGTAGGTCATTAATATCCTTGAGCTCATGTTTTTCATCTGTAAAATGGGGTTAACAGCAGCTATTCTGTAAGATTTGGAATGAGATAATTAGGTACCCCATCTTGGCTGCATAACAGAATAATCTATGAGATTTTTGGAGATTTCTGGATACAGGATACAGCAGTGGATATCTGGAATAAACAGACAATTCTCATAAACATACAGCTTGGGCTGAGAACCTTTGCTTCAAAGGTAAGGAATCAGTTCCAAGAGAATCCTTTTCAATCTAATCTGATTTATGAAGAGTAAATTCACGTAAAACAGACATCTGATGAAAGCCATCTGAGGTCTGTCTGTAACATTCCTTGTATTTTAAAGTAAGTACTGCCAGAAATTTCCAGAATAACTAGCCCTCCTATTTATTTGTTCACATACTTAACATTAAGTTGATCAAAAAGCTCATTCGGATTTTTCCATAAGCTGTTTTGGAAAAACCCTAAGAATTTTTGGCCAACCCAATAGTTTTGACCAAATTACCATACGTCACTTTCTGCTGCAAAATTGAGATTTGGGGTAAAAGATACGATATACAGCTCTGCTATAATCCTTGTTTCAGATGACCAACTAAGTTGAAAATGGGACATTAATCAAATTACATTTTTCCCCCAAAGATCAACACAGATCAGGATCAAAAGATGCAAAAGGATGGGACAATGTGAATATCTGCTTAGAAAGTCATGCCAAGGCCTATCATTATGACTTTTAAAATACACACAAGGGTCTGTATCAATACAAAATTTGCTTCAAATTCTCAGGTTAACCTAAAAATCTAAAGAAATAGAAGACACATGAAATCTTATAACAAGGAATGATCTCACAGCTATTTCAGGACCTACAGCAGTGTTTTTAAACTTTTATGAAGCAGAATCCAAATATATAAAATAGATTAACAGAACCCTGGCGCTCTCTGCTTCCCCCATCCTTGGCCACTCTCTACTTGGTCCTCCTTTTTGCACAACCTCAGGGTTCCATGAAATTTTAAAATCACTGCCCTATATGCATGTCCATTTTCACCTGCTTTTTACAGTTAATAGAAGAAGGAGCAGTTGCCTCCACTTCTTTTTCAGCAGCACTCTCCAGCTTCCTGCAGTCCCAACCGCCACTTCCCTACTATATCCATTTGTACTAGTCTTCCGTGTTCATTCACTTCAGGACGCCTGGCCATCAGCTTTTCCAATAGATCTTCTGTTTGTTGGCATCAGGTCCTAGTTTTAGTTGCAGCATGTGGGAGTGGACCCAGGCCCCCTGCAGCCTTAGCCACTCAACCTCCAGGGAACTCCCCCCAACAGATTTTTTTGGCCACTTCACACAGCATGCATAACTTCTACAACCAGGGAAACTTTGCAGTGGAAACTCAATCTTTAACCACTGGATCACCAGGCTTTTGTAAACCCAATATTCTTAGAAATTCCTTAGGACACAATCTATTGTTCTGAAGCATGTGGCAAAAAAATCTTTACTATTTAAAAGATGTCAGAAAATGATTAAGGCCCTAATAAATTTTTATTTGGACAGGAATCCTGTTGCTTTTTAATTTGCTGCTGAGGGTGTGGGCAGTTTTATCGAAGTATGCAATGTACAACTTAAAATAGAAAAATCTGCTAGTTTTTCTTCACTACTTGTGCCTATTACAGATAATAAGTAAATTTTCACCAAATACAAAAAAACGCACTAACATAGCATCTCTTCATTCTCACACATTTGTTTGTGTCTTGAATGTTACCAGCTTTCCCATTACCAGGTAAACTGAGTCACCCATAATTTCAACTTGTCCCTATTTATTCCAAAATGCCAGAGGACATGGGCAATCGACATAGCGTCCTTACTGGAATTTATTCCACCTAGATTCTGCAATTGAGTTTGAATCAACCTCTTAGAATAGTGTCTTTCACTGTGATCCAATACACATGTATTAGGTTGAACCATATGACACTGCAGATATCTATTTTTGATCTACATGAATAGCAATTACATATGTTTAGCCATACTTTTATATATACTCTTAATGTTTTCTATTCCTTATTACTAAAAGGAAACACTGGTCATGTGCTTCTGAACTTGGTTGAATGACTTAACTAATGAACGGCCCAACAAGTACAAGTTTCACTTTCAACCGCTATTGCAGCATGCCCCATAAGTATATCACTCATACATACATTCTGCATCCATCACTCCTAGAGCCAAATTTAGTATGCATCTGTCCATTCTTTTCTTAGCTGCATCCTCACCACACAAAAAAAGAAAAAGGCAGACCAACACCACTGAGAGAAAAACAGCCCAAGGAGTTTATTTTCTCTTAAAATTCATTTGCCATTAAGAAAATCAAATGAACCAACCTAGAGGCCTCAAATATGGAAAATGGCTTTGTCATATTCTTGCCTTCTCTTTCTCCAAAGTTAAACAAAAAGATATGCACACTCTACTAAAGTCTGACGTGCCCTCTGGTCATTCTGAAATACAAAGAGGAAGAGCATGGTTCTTATTTCCCTACATTTTTCCTCCTCCTCTCATACTAAGAGCTGAATAAGATTGTGATTTTTGTCTTCTTTCCCCAATCGCAAGTTTTCTATTTAATAAAAAAAAAAAAAAAAATCTAAACAATCTATCCTGTTCTAAAGTGAATTTAACCTCTTTTACAAAAGTAATTACTAAACTTTCAAATATCAAGTAATTTAAAGGGGTATGCTCAGAAAATGGGAAAATTCTTATTAGTATTCCATGTTCTGTAACTTGTTGCAAAACGAGTCACATAATACTTCTTAAAGTATCTAGTGCAAAGAAAACAACCATTACATGAAAATTCTTGGACTTTTCACAAAGGTCCTAAGGACGTAGGAAATCCTAAAATGAGCTCATACATAGTCACATGTCACTGCTTACAGGGAAATAACACTCCACATTCCAAATAACAGATTAAATTCCTAACCTGTTTATATACTCTGTTCTAATTATGTTCCACTATTTTCATTAGTTAACCACTACACATACCAGTCTCAGTACAAAACACACATATTTCTTACTAAATCCTGAACTAACCCTCAAATCATCACCCAGATAATCAAAATGTTGAAGCATCTTGTGGATGGGTCCTTTGGTTCTGAAGTATTGGAAAATCATTAAAATCTTGAAGATTGTTTTTCCTTTAAGACTGGTTAGGGCACAATTTAGTATTAAGCATTTATTCAAAAACCTAGAGAGACAAAGACTATATTCAGTTTTTTAAATGAAAAGAAAGTATAGATCAATTGGTAGTTATGGTATTCAGTTGATGCCCCAGGCAGAGCCCTTACTGCATACTGAAAATAATTTTTATTTAAAATTAAACATGGAACTTCCCTGGTGGTCGTGGCTAAGATTCTGTCTTCCGATGCAGGGGACACAGGTTCGAACCCTAGTCAGGGACCCAAGATCCCACATGCCATGGAGCAGCTAAGCCCAAGAGTCACACTGAACCCTCACACTCCAAACCCGTGCGCCAGAACTAGAGAGTCAGCACGCTGCAACTACTGAGCCCCTCTGCCACAACTTGAGTCTGTGCACCTTAAAGATCCTGCATGATGCAACTAAGAGAAATAAATATATAAAATTAAAGAGCTCAGTACACGGAGGGGATTGTTAGAGAGCTGAAACATCTCATTTAATCTTTACCATGAGGTGTTTGGCTCTCAAGAGTTGTGAGAATGCTTCTCAGTTCCATATTGCACTGAAAATATATTTCTGGGGGTAGGGCCCAGGCACTGGTATTTTTTAAAAGCGCACCAGGGGATTCTAATGCAAAACCATGATCCAGTCAGTCATATTTAAAAGCAGCATCATTCCAACTCAAAAATAACCCTCTGTGGCACAGCTGGCCCTCTCCAATACCCCTTAGCACCCACGAAGACCTTGGAAAAACTTTCCAACGGGTGTCCCTCAAATCCTGGGATTCCATCATCTTACAGACCTCCTTGTGTCACAATCCCCTACACAATTACACTGACTCCTCTCCAGTTTCTCCTTGAACTGTTTACTTCTTTTTTTTTTTATATTAAACTTGTAGTTTTATTCAGGTTCAATTTTAACAAATGTGTCGGGGAGAGAGTCCGCAGGAAAGGATGAAGCCCATGGGAGCAGGGCCCTCCCAGATGCCTGAGGAGGGGGCAGGTCCCCTCCACTCTCCTCCTCTTCCCTCCCCATCTAAAGGGATCTGGGGAGAGATATAGGCAGGGGAGGGGGCTGGTCCCCAGTCTGTGGGGGTGGTGCTTGGGATAGAGGACTATGGAGGAAATAAGGGGTCAGATCAGGTAAGAGCTGGGAAAGGGCATAAGGACCATTTGCCAGAATACACAGCTTTCTGATTCCAGATTGAATTTAAAAAAACAAAAAAAAAAACACTAAACCACAAGCAGCACCCACCCCGTCTCCCCCACCAGGGTTGTAGTGCGAGGGAGAAGAGGAGGGCAGCTTCAGCAAGGCCATGGTGCACTCGCTCCTGGCCAAGGGAGCAGGGTGAAGGGCAGGGGCTCCCTGACAGATTGAAGGGGTAGGGGAAGCCAAAATAAAACGTCAAATAAATCGCATAGGAGGAGTCCAGCCAAGGGCCAGGCCAGAGCTGGGCCACGCTGGGGGAGGGGGCCTCTGCAGGCTGGAGGGTCATTGCTGCCACCACAGCCACCCTGGGAGCCAGTGATTTTGCCACGGCCTTGATTGCAACAGCCGCCGCCTCTGTCATAGTGGACAGCACCGTGATCAGGATCTCTTCTCCACAGTCGTATTTCTGCTCAATCTCCTTGCCAAGGTCTCCCTCAGGCAGACGGAGGTCCTCTCGCACCTCCCCGCTGTCTTGGAGCAGTAATAGGTACCCATCCTGGATGCCAATCAGCTGAAAATCATTCCTTTTGATGATGGGGACATCCATATTATGAGTTGACGGGCAGATACCTTCGTATTTCTTCCCAGTGAAGATGTCAATACCAACCAGATGGACCTTGGCATGGCCGTGCTTGCCAGTCTTGGAAGTTGACATCTCCACAATCTTACATGGCCGGCCTTTGAGCACCACGAAGCCATTCTTACGTAATGCTGAGCACTGCATCGGGAAGGTGGCTGAGGCCCCTGCATCTCCTGTCTCGAAGTCCAAATCATCTGCCATTTTAAGAGGCTACGATTCCAACTCCCGCGAACGCACTGACTCAACCCTGTCCGCTTGCTGCGAGCCCAACTGCTGCCTCCGCCTCTACCCTGAACTGTTTACTTCTTCCTGTTCTATTCAACCTCACCCTCTTTAGACACAATGTAACCTAATCACCCAATTAATTTCCATGAAAACATAAAGAAAAACAAATATCTTTTGAGATCAAAAAGCAGCTTGTATGAAGGCTTCCCAGGTGGTGCTAGAGGTTTAGAACCCACCTGCCAATGTAGGAGATGCAAGCGACTAGGGTTCCACCCCTGGGTTGGGAAGACGGCTGGGACGGCAACGTGCTCCGGCACTCTTGCTTGGAGAATCCCATGGGCAGAGCCTGAAGGGCTCCAGCCCACAGGGTCAGAGTTAGACAGGACTGACTCTATGCAGACTGGGCTCACTCGGATACTATTCGCTACTTCCCAGATACAAACGTGGGTTATGCAAGCACAGCAAGGAAGTGCTCAGCAAAACTATCCTAACAGTAACCAAAACAGCAGTGTAACTCCCATCACTTGAACCTCTCCTCCCAAGCCAAAAAGAATTAAAATGCTCCAATTACTTTCAGCATTTTCAACAATTCGCTAATTTTCAAAGTGTTAAAAAGAATCCTTCCTTAATAAAGTTCTCTAGCTTGAATTTCAATCCTAACTTTACCTTTGGGGACAACAAAATTCCACTACTTAACAGTACCCAGGACAAGAGAAATGTACTTACCTGATCTAAGAATTCTTGGGAGCAGGCTTCTCACATTATTTCACAATATAAATTGTAAAAACAGGTTGGCACACTACACATACAGGAAAATAAAAACTTCAGTTGACTTAACTTACAAATAGTCAAAAATCTATGCAATTCCCGCTGTCCCTCGGAAAACTCATTCATTATAGAAATGGGGAATGTAAGACAGACCACATTGCAACGGAAGAGTCCATGATAGTTCATGCAGTCTTCATTCAAAAGGCCACAATTAGGCAGTAAGGGTGGGAATTCAGTTTCTTAAGGACCATTATTGGAAAACTCAATTAAGTCATCAGAAAACCTAATCTCCAGTCCCAGTTCTATAGCCATCTATTAATAACTGTGAGACAAATTATCCTCTGGACCTCAGCCTTCTCATTTTTAAAACAGGGTTAGAATTAGCGTCTTTAAATCTTTCCAGCTCCAACATTCTATTTATTGGTTCTGTAGTTGTTTTCTTTCCCTATACATTTGAATTTAAAAACTGCAGTGATCTGCACATTTAATTGCTATAAGAATGTGTATATATAAATAAACATGCTTTCTGTCACTTAAGATCCTTAAATAAGGAACAAAAACTCTATTCTAGGTTAGGGAGTTATTTACCATCAGACAAAACGAAGATTAGAATGGTAAAGTACGATACATCAGCAGAGTCAGCAAAATTAGAACTTTTTCCTAGCTGTGTACTAACCAACTCTGCCTCAGGTAGTGGTTACAGAATACTTCAGAGTAAACCCACAACACTATGACCCACTTTTTTGCTAGTAAAAGTTGCATACTTGGAACTGACTGAACTTTCTGAAAGGGAGGCTGAAGCATTCCTTGCTAGTCATTTATGTAACTTTGTTATTCTTTGTTTTGCATTAGTCTCTACGAAATGCAAAGTAGCTTTATTTCTTTCTTGAAATGTTACTTTTAACAGGCCTATTCAGGTCATGTTTTTGTCTAAGCTTCAACTTTCTATTGAATATTCCTCAGAATAAAGAAAACAGCTCATTTTAAACAAGAAGTTTATTTAAACAACAAGACGCTTGACTTGAAGGGAAAACTATCTAGGATTCATTTCTTTTAGAGTAATTTATCCCTACTTAAAGACAGATTGCCCTACATGTAACAGCTACGTACAAAAAAGTTATAAAATTGTCCTTGGTTTTACAATGATAAATGAAAAACATTAAAATTCTCCAATCGAACAAGGTATGCAAGAATTTTTATGTTGTTCTTTTTTTTTTGTTAAACAGTGAGAGCAAAATAACTTACTGGAATATAAAGATAAGAGCTGATGAGCATGCCACTAATGGAGAAAAGGGGGTATTTTCACAGAATCAGTATTTTTCCCCATCCCATCTCCATTTGATGTCGATCAAAACATACCATTGGCCATTTAGTTAAAAAAAAAAATGCAATATGCTTGTGCACATACACCAGTTACTTTATGTACAATAAAGGAATGGGGAAGGGGAAAATGAAAGAATAGAGAAACTATACTGTAGTAGTCAGGATGTGGTGGAACCAAATTGCGGTTTTCTAATTGAGAATGTCTTCTTGGTCTGAAGGAACAGAATTCTGGAGTAAAGTAGCAGGTTCCCTTTTTAGTAGACACCTCCTGTCTGCTGCTGGAATACATCAATTGTATCTTCATCTTCCATCTCCAACTAGCATAAATGAGAAAAAATAATCCACCATTTGTTACTCAGTTCTTAAAATGTATAACTATCAGATTTAAATATACTGAATGAGTTCCATCCCTTCCAGTGTTATTTCAGATATCCCAGAGCTTAAAGTAGCATTAGACTTAGGTTTGAATAATTTTTCACTTGGGACTTTTTTATTAACATTACAGAAAACTGAGTTTTTAAGTTAAAAAATGAGTATGACCATGAGTTAAATCATCTTTCATTACTGAAAATAAAAGTGATGTGTAACGAAGGATCTCAATGCAATGTTTAGATGAGCAAAAACCTGAAAATAACCAAATTATTAAAAACCCAAAGAAATATGGTACATGCATACATGAAATACCGTGTAGCTATTATTAAAGAATAAGTAGATTTACACATGCAGAAAAGGAAATATCCCTTAGAGACAATATTAGGCTAAAAAACAAATTAAAAAACCAGGCATCAAATACCATATAGTATTACATTTATATACATAGTTTTAATTTTGTGTAAATCTGTGTACAACAAGACTATATCCTTGCCTATGTACAAAACAGTGGTTACCACTATGCAATAAGGAAAGGCATATGGGAAAAACAGACTTGCTAAAATCAAAAGGGAACTGTTTCTAACAAAGTTGAAATATAGTACAAGCAGGGTATTAAAATATTAAGTCTCAATTCTGTTTGTAAAATGGAGTATCGTTCAGTTATTAGAATTCAGTGAGTCAAAGAAAGTATCTAAGAAAATGGTAAGTGCATTAACAATTATACTGCTGTTAAAACTGGCTGCTAAGAAGTTCTAATTTATACAATTCTGCTACTTAATAAATACTGGAAGAACAATTCTAAAATGAGTCAGTATTATTCTAAAACAAATTCAATTCCAAATACTAAAATGGTCAATTCCAAATTCAATTTGAAGATTTTATAAACCCACTTATGAACAAACCTTCCCCAGGCTTAATTATTTGCAGTTAGCATAACAGACAAGTTCCAGAACTTTTTGGTGGTGGGTGAGAGTTTCAAAAAACAGAAAATACATTATCATCAGAGCCCAGCATAATGGTTTAATTCTTAAAACCATCAAAACTGGTCTATCCACTAAAATGAAACTACTGAAATGTTTTTAAATTTTATAGTGAAAGTTTAAATGCCTTAGAAGGATACAGGAGAGCTTTTTCTCTCATTCAAGAGAATTCAGCTCCTCCTTGTGGCTACACACTATAATTGCTTCTTAGAGATTCACCAACAGAAAATAGATGTGAAATTTTTGAAGATTATCAACAAAAACAAAATCTGGATGTTCTGTTTCACTCATATTTATAACTTCCTATCTTTTATGGGGGTGATAAATTCAAAAGTACAAGGGGTCCAATTTAAATTTCTGCTATCAATTTCCCCCCATCCCCAAACTGAAGTCTTAAACTGAATTTCAGAAGGTAAAAAGAAACAAAGACAAAAAATTTCTGCTACAGAAGGTAGCCCAGTCGATTCCCTAAAAACTGACAGAACAACTGAGATTATATGTAGAGATTAAGGGATCAAACAATTAAGGGGTTTGGAAAGAGACCTACTATCAACAGCCTTATGAAACACAAGCTATCAAGAGACCTGCAGTTAGAACCACTAGATTCCCTTCAGTTCAGAAATATCCATAATCAAGACTTCAAGAGGAGCTAAAATGGCTAGAATAGTCAATCAATCACTTGTGAGAAACCCTGAGTGTGACTTAAGAGTTGCAGCAATGAAAACAGAAGGAAAACAACAATCTGAAGCAACAGACAGGAATTTTAATTATTTTCTTCCAAGCAATGCTGGCAAGGGGAAAACTTGGATTAAAATAAAATGGACGTACTAGCTTTACTAAGTGATAAGTAGATATTAAAAAACCGTTGGCATTTCTTGAATTTATTCCTGTTTTTTCTTTTTGTTCCCCTTTGGTCATATAGCTTTGAACTCTGGTAAAGAACTATACTCCAATGACTAGAAGTTCACAAATTAACAAAGCTGTTGAGAAAATTATGAACACATTGGCTTTCAAGTTAGCACAAAGAGATTTTTACCTGTGCAGGTGTGTCTGTTTCATTGATTGGCTGCCCGTCAAATCGGAATCTGATCTGCCTCATTGACAAACCCTGGACAAAGAGTTTAATAGCAATAAGAATGGAAAAAAACAGTTAAGATTATGTTCAGGTTTCCATATCGGTTAAGTGATTTGGGGTGATTTTTACTTTCTCTAAACTATAGTATGTTTTTCATTCTATTACTAGAGCTTAATTAATAAGTTATATTACTAGAGTATAACTTCAAGAAATTTTTACGTGCATTTAAGGAGATAAATGAGCCTAAACATGCAACTTTCTGCAAAGGGGACTCCAACTTATTCAAGAATTACCTGTCACAGGGGTGGGGAAGGGAAAGGAGCAAAATAGTGAAGCTGTTGGTAACTGCAGCCAAATGAGAGCAAGATAGGAAAATAAAGTATCTTTGGAGGTATGCTGTGAATATATTAACCAGAAAAATAGCTTTCTTGGAAGCATCTTACACAGTCGTTCCTGTATCATGCACAAATTACAAACTGTTACTCTTGCTATACAAACTCTTTGCTTTAACATTTAAGAGAAAATTAAACTGAGTTCCTAGGACTAAAAACATTGAGACCAAGTATTCCATAAACACTTGTTTAACACCTGTATTCCCTTATTCAAGGGATTCACTTATTCACTGAATTGGTCTTTAAAACTACCTGTAACATACTGCTTTCCCTGTAACATACTGCTTTCCTTTAAAACTCTAGTCTTTGACACATACCACCCACTTCCAGACTAGCCCTTGTCTTGAGGAACACAACCAATCCCCCACTAAGTAGGTGACAGCCATAACCTAATTCATTCCTCTTGACTTTCAAATTTAGTTTGCACAAAGCAACCAAGAATCCAATGCCAAGCCATTACTACTATTACATATTTACAAACACTAGATTGGAGACTACTGGTTCAACAAAACACTAAGCACCTTCTATATGCCATGTTCTTCCCTCACTACATTGACTGATAAGGACATAAGGTCAATGGTGTGACCATTCAAAATAAGGAGGGGGGAGGGGAAAGGCAGGACCAGGAGAACACAAGCAAATTGTACTCCTTTATTGCCACCTTTTTATGCTTTTCCTTATCAGTAAAAGCTCTTTTATTTTGCTAGAGATCAAAAGTCCAAAATTCAGGAAATTGGCTTTTAAGATTCCATAAACTATGTAAATTTAAACAATGAATTTAAACTAAACCAGTATTTGGTTTTCTCTATGTATAAATCTCAACAGTGAGCTTTAGAGTTGTGCCCCAGAAGAGCTGTGTGAGGCTTTCTCTACATGTTCCCACTTCTTCATTTCACAAAAATGAACTGGACTAAACCAATTATTCTGGGCTTTCTGAAATTACTTGACACCCTAGAGGACAACTAGGGTTAGGGTAAATTTACAGTAGAATGGAATACTATGCTCTCAGTCATTTAGCTGAAGGATCTGTGGCTGATATTAAGTGAGCAAACTAATTCTACATATGAATGAAAAACTTATCTAGAAACCAACCTCTAGAGATACTAGTCTGAATCTCTATCATGTTATAAGCATTTGAACACATTCTATAAGCCAGTACTGGTCCAGGATCTAGAGAAACAGTGACCAAAACAGCCCGATGCTCATGGAGCTTACATTTTAGTGCAGAGACAGGTAAATACAATAATCAAAGAAAAAAACATCAAAACAAACAAAAAAGAGAACTGAGTGAACCAGGGCACTTTGAAATCAGAGAAGTCCCTGAGGCAGTAATCAAGTGTAGAGTAAAAATGATTGAGAGCTCAGCACTATCCAAAAGAAATACTGTGTGGGCCATACATGTAACTTTTAAGTTTTCTAGCTGCCACACTAGAAAGTTAAAAATAAGCAAAAGCTTAATAAAAATATTTTAACTTAACATAATTAAAATACTATCATTTCAACATACGATCAACATTTAAAAAATTGAACCTTTTGTCATACCAAGCCTCCAAAATCTGGCGTTTATTTTACACTCTACAGCACATCTCAATTTGGATTAGCCACATTTCAAGTGGTAATCAGTCACATGTGGCTTGTGGCTACTGTATTGAGCCAAGTTTGGACAGAGAACAGAACTGGGTGATGGATTTTGAGTTATGATGCATCATCAAGGAAGATCCTAAGGTTTTGGCAACTAGATGTAAAATGA